GAGAGACAAATCAAACATCAGACTCTGAACTATAGAGAACAAATTGATGGTTACCAGAGGGGAAGTGGGGGGAGGGATGGGCGAAATAGGGGATGGGGATTAAGAAGGGCACTTGTTGGGATGAACTCTGGGTATCGTATGTAAATGTTGAATCACTATATTGTACACCTGAAACATTAATATAACACTATATGTTCACTATACTGGAATTAAAATAAAAAGCTTGTAAAAATGCCCAAGGGACCCTTAAAGACACATCATTTTCATTGTGTCCAACAATACGCCTTGGATTTAGAGTAGCACCTTTCAATAGAACTTTCTGCAGTGATGGAACTGTTCTATATTTGTTCTATGTTATGCACCTATTGAATATTTGAAATGGGGCTAGTTTTAGATGAAGTTTTAATTTTATTTAATTCCAATTAAATTAAAATGGCCACATATGACTCATGGCTACCATATTGGACTTTACAGATCTAGAGAATAAACATAAAGATAACAAGTCATTTTGTAAGATCGTCTATGCCATTTCACATGTGAAACGTGTGAACATGTGTCCATGTGAACATAAAACCATCAGTAGGATAAAATCAGAAGTATCAACTGTTCATGTTTCTAGAATCTGACATGATACTCGTGTCTACAGTACTCATATAAAATTTTTTCTGTACTAGATAGATTGAAGTTATACACAAACATATAAACATACACAAACTTAAAGGGGATATTCTGGATAAATTTATTTTAAATCAAATTATCTGGATAATTATCTCAATTCCTCCTTTTGCTGTAGTCCATTGGATATTAATATGAGGACTTCTCTGCCCCTTGCCCTTCCAGAGCCCATGGTGGGCATACTTATCAATATAGCACTTATTTTTGCCAAGCCCAGTTGGGTCTCCCCATCCTCAACAAGACAATGGACATTGACTGGAATTGACATGTGAGATAAAGCCCATTTTCCACCCTTGATTTAAATACTTTCTTTTAAGGGAGTATTTGGGTTATTTGGACAGAAAGGTAGCAAATGACGTAATAAAAAATCATTATATTTAGAGTTAGAGAATTTTAGAGCCAGAGAAGTCTCAAAGAGTTGTCTTATTTTTCTTGGACTTGACTTACTTGCCAATACACAAATGTACCATATCTGCTGGTTATACCCCCATCCCAGATCCAGTGTCCACCCTTCTCCACCCAGCTATGTGCACCTAGGGCTGACCTGTGGACTGATCACTGGGCTTCCTTGCCCTGGGCTTCCTTGCCCTGGGCTTCCTTTTGGCAAATGGCCAGTGGGAGGTACCAGCAGGAGATCTGGCAATCAGGTAAGGGTGAAACTGGGTATTTATTCCCCTGGCTCCCTTCCTGTGGGGACAAGGTAGATTACCAGGATCCTAATACTGTGAGTCATATAGCTCTTGTCGTCTGTTGGGGACCCTCTCCTCACAATCCTCTGTTTCCTTGGAAACCGCTCCTTCTCTGCCTCTTCAGGCTCAGGGAGAGTAAGGGGAGGGCTTCTGGGGCTAGCAGCAGATGCTACCTTCTTTCTTCTTTCCCTATACCATGGCCACGTCTCTGAAGAGTCTCTTTCTCATTAACTCTCCTCCTACCTCACAATTTGAGTGTGCCATTATTTTCGACTGGGACTTTGATATATCTATGAAAGAGTATCAGGATGCCCTCTCTCTGGGCCTTTCTTCCGAGCAGCAATTGCTACAGGGGTAATTTAGGACATTGTTTTCTAGAGCAGTTGTTTAAACTCCCTGCCTTACCAGACATCAACCTAGACCCCTCTGGGGTGAGTCATTCTATTTGTGTGGGTGGGGTTAGTTAAAATAATTTAAGAATTTTCTCAAAAGTCCAAGTGTGGAGCCCCAAATAAAATAAACAACCGAAAAAAAAAAAAAAACCACTAGGACTGTGCATTTAGATGTCTTGGACAGTAATCCACAGCCCAGCCCCTCCTTTCTGGGCAGGATGTGGTCAGAGTACTATACACGGTTAAGAAATTTCCCTTTTGAGCCTCTTCATCATGTATTTTGGTGTGGATAAAATCAATTCCAAACAATAGCTATAAGTTGAGGTATTATGTGTACAGTGGTAGAAGAGCTTTGGCAGAGTCAGGATGGCATGCTAATTTTCTTCCGCCCCAAATATTGCTTAAAATGGCCCTTCGTAGGTCACAAACCGAAAAGGGTTGGCTTTCTGTGGCACGCAATGGTAGATGCGACCCACCTGGACTCTTGTCTGTCTGGTGTCATGCCTGCGAGAGGCCTAAAATCTCCCTGCCCCAAAATACCTTTCTTCCCAGAAGTTCTGTCACAATTCCAGAAATTCCCCTTCTGTGCATGTTACCCTAAGGGTATTATCGAGTGAAGGCATCATTTTGTGGGAAAAGGACATTACGTATCAGCTGGTTGACGACCTGGCAGAAATAGACATATGTGGTTTAAACTATTACCTCCTGGTATTGTGCGCAGAGAAAATGGGGAAATGGAAGTCCCGGTTGGGAAGGAGGTAAGCAGAGGTGTGAAGCTTCCAGAATCACTCAGGAACCCGGACCTGTCAGGGAGAATGCAGTGATTTAGTTAGTGACCATGGCAGGTGCTGGGATGCCTGAGTGTACCGGGGCATAATTAACACTGTCACCAAAGACGAACTCTGTGACAACATGACAAGACAGTCTATGTAAAGGGTCCAGGGCAAAGCTTTATCAATCTGTTTCCTTTTCTGGTGCATCCATAATGTGGCTGAAAGCTTTCCCGGCTAGGAGACCGTCAAAGGCTACCTCAGGACTGCCTGATCTTGAAGAACTAAACCGCTATGACCCATCAGAAGCCAGAATGACAGTCATCTGTCATTAACTGGTAGGGGCTGCGTGACGTGTTGTAGTTGATACTGAGTGTGAGGTGGCATCTAGTCACATGAATAAGAATGACATTGTTGATTAGCAGTGGGCTTGGACTTGGAGGGCAGGGAATGTGATACGTTTGCCAGTCCCACCAAGGGCCCTTTTCTGCTTTATTCCACAGCCAAACTGTCATCTTCAGGTTTTGGGGGGGCCTGAGACTGGCTTCGAGAATCCCTAGTACTACCTTCTTGGGAATAAGCTGTCACTGGATCAGTTTACAGAGAGCACATGCCTGAAACTTTTCATCTCTTCCTATCATTAAGTCTGTAATTCAGGTTAGTTGCCCATCAGCGGTTTGGGGATTCAGGCTGAGGTCGAATGGGCCAAGAAGAGTGGTCTCCCAAAGGGATGGCTGGTGAGGAACCCATCTCCATGTGCTTGTTTTCCCATTTCGTACTTCTGAACTATGTTCGGACAGCAGGAAGCCCTGGGAGACATCCTCAGCTCCTCTTGTTTCCGTACGTTCTCCATCCAGCCTCTCAGGAAAAGCTGACAGAACCTGTGCTGTTTCCACCACTTGTCATCACCTCCACCATTGCTGGCCAGCCCCCTCTGCTGTCTCTCACGCACTCTGTTCCAGAGAGTCCTGTCTGGCTCCCTGCCCTCCCTCCTTTGTGCCCTGCAGTCTTGTCCTCCTCAGTTCTTTAAAAACATACCTCAGATCCTGTCATTCTTCTGCTTTCCACCCTCCAGTGCCTTTCCAGCACACTCAGTGTACAATCAGAAGACCTTACCATGGCCTCAAATAGCCATGGGATCTAGGGTCTTCTCCTTGTGGCCTCGTCTCCCCCATTCGCTTCCTCTCTGCCCATCGTCCAACCACCCTGGTCTACCTTCTGTTCTCCCACCTCGCCACGCTCATTTCCACCTCAGCTGCTTTGCTGAGTGTGTCCCCCACCCTCCGCCCCAGATCGTCATGTGGCTTTCTCTCTCATTCATTCACATCTTGTTCACATGTTACCTTCTTCCTTGGCTCCTTTATCAGAAGTGACACCTCTTTCCCATGGTACTCCCTATTCCTAGCCTTATTTTATTTATTTATTTATTTATTGATGCTGCTGCTCGTTACTACTGAATTTCATGTTCACTCATTATTTATGTATAGATTTTTTTTCCTCCTCCCTAGAATGGAAGTCTTTGAGGGCAGGAACTGGTTCATTATGTCATGTATAGAAGAAGGCGCCTAGAACATAGGAGGTATTCAGGACATATTTGTCAAATTTGAAAGTGAGGGGTCTTCTCTAGGCCATGGGATTGCATGTCAACGATTAAGATGGTGTGTGAATCCATGGCAAGGGGTGTGGTGCCTGAGGCCGGGATCGGCTAACTGGCAGTAAGGGCTGACCAGGACGCTGCATGGCTGGGGAACACTCAGAATGTACAGAGCTTCCAGGGAATTGTGAGTCAATGTCAGAATCCAAGTGAATGATTAAGACAGTGGATAAGAATTCCTAGCACAAAGAAGTTAACGTTGAAACACTTTCTCAGCTGAAAAGCTTCCTACATGCTTATGCCTAGAACAGAAGCCACAGTGTGTATCCTAAGGAGGGTCTGAGGTTGAGCTTGGTTCAGAGACGGTGAACAGGGTGATCCAAGGAGGTGGGAACTAGAAGCCTACCTGCTATGAAGTCATCACCAATCAATCCATTTAATTCTACAAAGTCTGGGGAGAGAATCAGGCCTTCTGAAATCAGCTCCTAACATAGGACAGCTGCCCCCTCCTTGCAGATGCTTTCCCCAAAACCAGTTCATTGGAGGAGATGTCATAGTGGTGATGTTCCCCAAGGGCCCAGAGACCAATGAGTTCTGTGGTCCACTTACATCTCACGTTGGGGAACTCCACTGAGCATCAGAGACCTCTGTGCTGGCTGGGAATCCCCATCACAGCAGTGGCCTCTGTGGGGTTGAGCTGCAAGCTACTTTTCAGATTTAGCACACAGCCTTGTGAGGAGACAAAGTTGTTACCTCTGCAGAGAAACCAAGCCAGTGATGCTTCCCACATCTGGGAAATGGGAACATTTCTAGAAGTTGGAAGCCAATGTCCAAGGTGGAAGGATGGCTTGTACTGATCTTTGTGTGCCCCCATCCCCAGCCCTATTTGTACATTTCCAGGATCGATGTAAGAAGAAGTACATTGCTGTGTGTTTGTAACTCAGGCCATCGTTTGAGGGTAAGTAACAAAGAGGTCTGGCATGGCTTTCAAAGGAAATAAGGTGAAGATTCTTCTCCCCAGCCTACTAAATAAACCGCTGAGGCCTTTCATGACTCAGAAACCGCAGACCCCACACACAACATGTATCTATTCATTCTTGTCTACAAATATTGATGGAGAGCCTATTGTGTGACTTACACAGTGCTTCGGTTGAGGATGTAATGGTAAAATAAGATTCACTCCCTCCCCTCAAAAATAGATAATCCCACTCCAGTGTGGAACATTCTACAACACATAGGGTAACATAATCTAATGGCAAAGAATATAAGCTGAGTTTTGTTACTCACCAGGCTGTGTGATCTTGTACAAGCCACTTCCCTTCTCTGTGTTTCAACTTTCTCATGTGTATTTCAAGGAAATTACCCATGTTATGAGATTAAATAAAATAATGCCTATCAAGTGTTTAGCCCAAGTGTCAGTAAATGTGAGCTATGATGCTGGCTATGATTTTATGATAAGAGTTGGCCTGTAATACTGTGGGGGAACATTGATATCTTGAAGTACCATATTTCTAGACAAATGTATTTATATTCAAGGCCAAACCTAGAAAAAAATCTGAGTAATTGGAAATATCTTTTTAAAAAATTTTCTGCCCAAGAGACTCTCTATCCAAACCTGTTTTCTTTCCCCCTTCTGGAAGCTCTTAGTGTCCTGGTTCTTTGATTTTCTCTGTCAATATATCTCTCAGTAGACTGGCAGACTGGAAGGAATCTAAGCAGGATATGTCCATCATATTGTCTTTGATTTAGAACATTGTCCTTCCTTGAGGTGTTCACATCTCACCCAAAGAACAGCATCATTTCAGGTATCAGTGAAACTGCCTTTTCTGAGAGTAATGAAAGAATTTGGTATTTTTACAGGGAGAGACAGATATAGACTGATGGAATGGTCTCCACAACAGACTCATGGACACATGGGAACTTGGTTCACAACAGATACAGAAATACAAATCTACAGAGAGAGAAAGAATTAGTCAAGTGCTGGAATGATTGATGGAAACAGGAAATCCCTACCTCACACTTTAGACACAAATTCCAGATGGGATTAAGATGTACATAGGAAAGGGAAAGTTTAAGACTTTGAGGAGGAAACATAGGGAACTTTTAAACATAGGGGCTTTTGCCTCAAAAGGCATACACCAAAAAGAGGAGGTTTTATTTATTTATTTAAAAAAAAAAAGATTTATTTATTTATTTATTTATTTACTGGGGAGACAGAGATCACAAGTAGACAGAGAGGCAGGCAGAGAGAGGGGGGAAGCAGGCTCCCCGCCAAGCAGAGAGCCTGATTCGGGGCTCGATCCTGGGACCCTGAGATCATGACCTGAGCTGAAGACAGAGGCTTTAACCCACTGAGCCACACAGGCGCCCCAGGAAGAGGTTTTAAAATACGATTAAATTGAAATATTACACTTCTGTACCAACAAAGACACAATAAATAAAGTTAAGGTACAAGCTTGAGACTGAAAAAAGATATTAGAATGCTTATAATCAACAAAGAATTCTAATAAAAGATTATTTTTAAACATTCCTGTGACTTAACAAGAAAAGATAATCTAAGAAAAATGGACAGAGGGGCGCCTGCGTGGCTCAGTGGTTAAAGCCTCTGCCTTCGGCTCAGGTCATGATCCCAGGGTCCTGGGATGGAGCCTCACTTTGGGCTCTCTGCTCAGCAGGGAGCCTGTCTCCTCCTCCTCTCTCTCTGCCTGCCTCTCTGCCTACTTGTGATCTGTCTGTCAAATAAATAAAAATCTTTAAAAAAAAGAAAAAAAGAAAAATGGACAGATAATATGAACTGAACACTCAGAAAAAGAAACTCAATCGCATTAATAACAAGGGAAATTCAAATTAAAACCATAGTGTGATACTATTTTATACCCGTGAAGCTGGCCAAAATGATACCACCACCAAAATGATACCAATCAGTTTTGGTGAGGCTGTGGGGAAACACATGTCACATATTGCTGGTTAGAGTGCAGGTCGGGAAGACCATTCTAGAGCCCATGTTGGCAATATCTCTCAAAACTGGAGAAGTGCATTTCCTAAGACCCATAAATTCTACTTGTAAGTATATATCCTAGAAAATGTCTTGCACAAAGTAACAGGCACAAGAATGATCATTGCATCACTGGAAAGACAAAAAGGTGGAGTGAATTAATACCCATCCAGAACAGGATAGACAAGTAAGTTGTGAATTAGTCATATGCCGTCTTAAACAGCAGTTACAATGAATGAGCTAGAGTTACATATACCAATACGGATCGATCTCTGAAAGATAACAGGGCACATAAATAGCAAACTATGGAAGGGTCTGAATTATAGGACACCATTTAGATAAAAATATAAAAACACACCCAACTTTACATTGTTCACATTACATATCTATTATATGTTATACTACACTGTGTATTTATTATAGATATATATTATATATGACGCTTATATGCATTTATTGTATAGGTATATCTAAATTGTCTATTTTTTTTTCAAAACACATCTTGTTTTGTGTTTTGGGGAACACAAAACACAAAAATATATAGAAAGTATAAAAAATGAGCATGAGGACAGATATCAACTGGAGGACAATCTGGAGATGGAGGAAGGAGAAGGGGATGGTAGTGGTTTGGTCAGGGCAGGACACAGGGGTGCCTCAATAAGATTTGAAGAAAATAGGATAAATGTTATTATTAAATCTAGGCTGTTGATAGTATATACACAGATGTTTATACTTTACCCTATGCTTGGCACTTTATTATTTTTTTTAAAGATTTTTTTAATCCATTCATTTGACAGGGAGAGACACAGCGAGAGAGGGAACACAAGCAGGGGGAGTGGGAGAGGGAGAAGCAGGCTTTCCGCTGAACAGAGCAGGAAGCCCGATGCCGGGGCATCCCAGGACTTCGGCATCAGGAACCGACGGGAAGGCAGACACCCAATGACTGAGCCACCCAGGCGCCCCTATGCTTGGCATTTTAAAATTAAAAGAACAGGTTCCCTTTCTTGATGCCGAGGCTGGCCTCCCTTATGGCTTTTCCAGTTAGCTCTCTGAGAAGAGAGTGTGTAATGGGACCTGTTTATTCCCTATAGTGCCTCCTGGATTTGTAGTACGTGGTTTGAGTCTGCATCATGCTGTATTCTTTGGAGAAAGGGCTCATCTAGGGCAGGGATGCCGTGTATAGGTGAGCCCTCCTTATGGTTTCCCAAGATGCAGTCCCGGCTCTGCTCCCAGAGCGATGCCCTTTGATACAGGACCGCACACCTCGCGCGTCCGCCTCCAACCAGAGTATGCACCTTTTGCTAATTCAGGTGCCTGCGGAAGAGTCTTTCTAATCTGATAGCGTAGGCAGCTCCTTTTTCTACCTGCAAAAAGGCCCACGCTAGAGGACCAGCATACCTGACCCTGATGTAGGAGAGCAAAGCCACACCCAGGGTTTCCCAGCCTTAACTGCGGTAGCTATTTACCCAATCTTTGAGGAGAAAGTTGGAAGCATGCTTCTCCTGCAGGGGATGGACAGCTAGAGGTGGAGGAGCATGCGACTCCCTCACTAGTCCCTACCTCAGTTCTGAGCCAGCTACACGTTTTCTCAACATTCCCTAAGCCCGCCACTCTCAGGAGCCAGCCAGGTCCTGTGGGCCGGCGCCCCTAACCAAGAAGCATCTGCATGAAGATCACTTGGCAAATTCTTTTATAAATTTGTAGGCATTTTCGGATGAGCTTGAATGGGAAAGTGTGATTGATGTGTGATGAATTAGACCTTCACTTGGAAGACAAACAGGCGCCAATAGCTATTTCAGGTGTATTGTTCTGATTTAATTTATTTCACCTGGTGTGTTTACTAAGCGTCTGCTTTACTAGCTATTGTGTACAAAATAAACGGGTGCTTATATTCTATGCTCCAAAAGCTGCAAAAAATCCTTTAAAATTGTGTATTGCTACTGCTTTGAAGATGATAGTTATTGGATTGATGTATTATAGTTGAATTCTTCTGCCTATATAAAGATACAGCTATAACTTTAACTCTAAATAGTCCAGATTCTACAAAGTATCAGATTCATCACTGGCCCATTTTTCCTTCCAACTGATCATCCAAGAGACATCTGTTGAGTGCCCACTATGTGCAAGGTGCTAAAGGTAGAATATTGAATAATAGATTGTTTCTTTTCTCAAGGAAGTCAGATATTCAGAGAATTACACTCCAGTGTTTTTTGCTTTTTTTTTTTTTTGAGATTTTATTTGTTTATTTATTTGACAGAGATAGAGAGGGGGAGAGAACACAAGCAGGGGGAGTGGCAGGCAGAGGGGGAAGCAAGCTCCCACTTGAGCAGAGAGCCCAATGTGAGGGCCAATCCCAGGACCCTGGGATCATGACCTGAGTCAAAAGCAGATGCTTAACCGACTGAGTCAACAAAGGCACCAGTGTTTTAAGAGCAATAAGAGAAGGGAACCCAGAAAACTGTGGGATGTCCAACTCAGCAACTGATGAGGTTATGTGTTTGAGTCAGGGAAGACTTCTTGATGGAGGTGATGTCTGTGCTGGACTAGAGTTTGCAGTGGGGAAGGGCATTCCAGGTAGAGGAGGCAACCTGATCAAAGGCACTGTATATGACATCTGTTTGGTTTTTTGTCCACCCAGGTGCCATTTTCCTTTTCTTGATAACCCCTTGGCAACTTCCCCTCCTCTATTGAGAGCAGTCTTGTTGGAGCTGTCAGTCAAGGGACCCTGAGATCCAAGCCCAGGGCAGCTGAGCCAAACTAGGCCCATGGAATTCTCTCACCCAGAAATCTGACTCTTTAGCCTAGTTATTGCAACGAAGGAAAGTGGTCATTGCAGAGCCCTAAAAATAAAGTTCATAGTTTCTACCTGGATCCCAGACTTACTCTGGTTCTCAGCTTTTTCATGCTTGATTCTTTTTAGTTTTTCCTTCAGTTCTGTAAACTATCTCATACCCTCACAATAAAATGTTTTGCTTGTTATCCAGAATCAGTGTCTGTTACTTACAACTGAAAATCCCTAACTGGGGGCGCCTGGGTGGCTCAGTGGGTTAAAGCCTCTGCCTTTGGCTCAGGTCATGATCCCAGGGTCCTGGGATTGAGCCCCGCATTGGGCTTTCTGCTCACCAGGGAGCCTGCTTCCTCCTCTCTCTCTCTGCCTGCCTCTCTGCCTACTTGTGATCTCTGTCTGTCAAATAAAAAAAAAAAAAATCCCTAACTGATATAGGGAAAAAATATCAGTGGTGGAAGTTATTAGTAGAAGGTTAGGAAGTCTACTTTTTATCTGCCAGAACTCCTGGCAGATAAAAGATAAGGAAAATTTCCAAATCCTTCAGAGGTGGGGAAGAGGAAAGAAAGAAAGAAAGAGAGGGAGGGAGGGAAGATAATACAAAGAAAGAAAAGGAAAAGAAGAGAAAGAAAGAAGAGAAAGAAATGAAGGGAGGAAGAGAAGGAAGGAGGGAGGAAGGAAGGGAGGGAAGGAAGGAAGGTAGGAAGGAAGGGAAGGAAGAAAAAAGGAAGAAAGAAAGAGAGCGAGAGAGAGAGAGAAAGAGAGAAAGAGAAAGAGAAGGGAAGACAAGCAGATTTCTCTCTCATGCCACAGGTATCTTCTCAGGTAGTGTGATGGGAACGCACATTCCTGAGGATGGCTAGGTTTGCAGGGAGGACCCCATCGACATCATTTAAACTTCTGCCACTGGCTAGCCTCTGTCTCTCCTTCCCTGGAGTAGCTATTACACAGGAGGTGCAGGAGAAAAGGAACAGTTTGCTGCTGTTTCATACAGAACCCAGCTGGAATCTGCCAGAAACTGCTCTGCATCCTGAGATGGTTTACCTGGTTGGCCCTCAGGGCAAAAATGTGGATGACAAAGAGCCAGGGATGTCAGATTTTGAGGTTGCTGCTCGCTGGGTTTCTTAGCTTCTAGCCGACAAGGCCAAGGTCTATCCTGAAGTGGAAACAATTAAAAGCGCTGGCTTTTTCATTGTATTGTAATTACTGCAACAACTCTGGTACAAATTATGACTCACTGTTCTAGGTGGTTAGCATCGGGACTTCCACCAAGCAAACCCTTTGTAGGTCGCAGAATGGTATCGCTCGGTGCCCTCAGAAGGCTCATAAGAAAGAGGCTTTGCTCAAGGCAGGAGTGGGGGGAGGGGTCTACTCTTCATAGATGAGTCATTTCACTGAAAATACTTGGGCTCTGACACCCCCTGGAATATTATTTGCAGTTGTAAGTCTTTATTGTTGTTTTCATTATTGTATATATTGCTATTATCAGAATTTATCTGCAAAATGATCATGGGAGTTTAGTCTGTAGGGAAGTACCTTATGAATTTATGTGAATTCTTCTTACTTAAATTACATTTTTACCTTTTTTACCATTTCTTTGGTCAATGGAGATTTCCTTAGGCAGGTATATAGAATGTAGGGTCTAAGAGAAGGCAATCAATCATAAATTTTGTAGCAGTTCCAGGAGGGTCAGGATTTTATCTCTTCTGATAAGTATTGGTTCAAATACTCTGAGGTTTCCTCTAGCAGCAGTCACAAATTTTGCCAGTGACAAAATCCAGGCTTGAACTGGCTTCAACACAATGGAGAATTTCCTCTCTCTGGCCATTGGAAACTCAGATGCTGATTTGGCTTTGACTTTATTTGAAGTTGAAGTTTCTCTCTTCTTGATCTAACCCTTTCCTTTGTCAGACTTATTCCCAGGTTCTGCCTCATATTGCCAGAAACGCCAGGTTTATCCCGTCATCAGGCCAAACCCATCAGAGAAGAGCAAAGATTTTGACACAGAATTTCTTTTCAAATCCCTGAAATTCACTATATGGAACCAACTTTGGTCACACGCACACTCCTGGATGAATCTTTGTGGCCAGAGAGGGCCACGATCCCGTTGGTTTAAGCATAAGGTGTGGGTGGAATCCCATAGCTCTTGGGGCTGAGAATCAGGGAAGATGGACCACCCTAAACAAACCTTACCTCCCCAAAAATAATCCCAATAAATCAGTGCCTTTGAAGGAGGAGAGGGGAAGAGTTGCTGGAGAAGAAAACTGCACCTGTCCATCACAGCTCTGTAGTGTGGGCACCTATAAATGGAGTCTGAAGACCCCAAGGATGGCAAGGGGCATGGGACCTCTGTCCCGAAGGGTTGTCCTCATTTCCTTCAGTTAACTCCCCAAATTCCTAAGTTCTTCTCAACCCAGAAATTCGTGGAGAGCAGCCATAGTCAGAACCCCCTTGGGGAAGGGGACGTGGCTGGTGAGGGAAAATGAAGTAATGCATAATCAGAAGGTTTTCCCTGAAAGATAAGATCTTCCAACTACTTGCAAATCTCCCCAGAGCATCCAAAACAGAATTTAAATATTTATTTTCTCTGAAGAGGTTTTGAGAGAATTATGCAATCTAACGATTTAAATAGGCTCCTGAAAACAACTAACTTGACTCCTGTTGACCAAAGACCTCTTCCAAGCCAGACTCAGCTCTAGATGCTTGGTTAATTATTTCCCACAGCAGCCCTTTGGGGAAAATATCATCATCTCTTTTACGACCCAGATGAAGAAACTGGAGGTCAGAGAACTTCAGCAAGTTTCTGGGCCCAGCCAGGGTATAAGCCCACCGTGTCTGACCTCTGAGCCCCAGGCATTGCCCAATCCTCTGTGAGATAAGACATGATCGAGGAAATCCATCTCCCTTCCCTACGAGAGCAACAGGGATGAGAAAATCTCTCTGTGCTGTTAGGATGCATTTTTATACTTTTTGTAGTTAGGAAAGGGAGAATAGTCCTGAGCAATTCTGGAGCATCAGCTGGATTTGGGCCACTGGGAGTGGAGGGGAAACTGCTTTGTAGTAGACTCTTACTGGTGAGTTTTGAGTGGAGGAGAATATGATTTCCCAGGCCTCTTTATCAGATTCGGTTCCTGCCCCAGGTCGTGCACAGACAGCAATCAGTGCCCACAAGAGCACTGGAGGTCAGCACAAGCAGACCCCACAGGACTCTCCACCTGCCTAGCAGCTACTCCCAAGCACTAATGAAATGATGCATCAAAAAGCTGGCCTGACTCATTCCTGGAGTCTGTCCACACCAGCTTCTGCCACCCCCGCTCCACAGAGACCACACTTACTAAGATCACTGAAAATCCTCTTGCTCCTAAACCCACGCGGAAATTCTTCTCTGTGACTCTTTCTGGTCTCCGTGGTGCTTGATCCAATGGGCTGCTTCTATGCTCTATATCTTCTCCAGCAAAGCAATAGCATCACTGCTGGGCTGTTTTCTCTTCCAGGTCGTTTCTAAAACATTTCTTAGAACTGGCGGGAGATCCTCAGTATTCCATCCGGGGTTGGCAACCGTGTTAATGGCAGATCAAGACCCTGAGCAGTTCCAGCTGTCTCCACTCAAGAGGTTCAAATCTCAGATCTTGAGAGTCTTGAAAATGACCTGACTTTTGCATAAAGGACATCCAACAAGAGCACTAGACACACAAATCGAGGCTCCTCTGCCCATGGCAAGCCTGCTATAGAAACACGTTCACAACATATTTTGAACTTTAATGTACAGATTTTTATCATCAATTTAAGGTAAGCATAGTACGTCTTTCCTCAGTTAAATAAAATTTAATAAGGATGTAGTTAAACAGGCGCTGGAAGGCTGAAAATACACGAAAGGGAATACTAAAGTGTCACAGAAATCGTGGCTATAGAAAGTAGCTAAGGGAACAGAAGGAAGAAGTTGGGTGATTGAAAATCTAGAAGCTTGGAGAAGGGGATAGACACAGAGCTAAAGCCTAGGTCACTGTGGAGGGGCCATCTGGTACAGGGATATCTGAGTGTGTTCTGGTTGTGCAGGAAACACTGGGGCAACTGGGACCAATAGCTCCTGCTAAGATGAAGGCCATAGACTAGAAACAATATAAACAAGACACAAAGCAGGAATGAGCAAGTCCCTTCTCTCCGCCCCCTTGGCCCCCCACCCAGTCTCCTTGTTCTGCTCCCATGAGCACCTAAAAGGATCACTGGTCAAAGTGCAATAGTTCTGCTGAATCCTAGCCCTGGCATTACAAAACAGAGCATGGCAGGATGGATTGCAACGATGAGACAAGAGCTTAATAAACACACACCTCTGACCCATTCACTTTTACTACTATCTTTGAACTTTCTGCAAGGAGCATGATTTGCCCAGAATTTCTATTCCACAATCCTACCCAGTCATTATCCCTAATTACAAAAAATCCAAGTCTCTATTTCCTTCATGAGATCCAGTTTAAAACATCAATTTCATGGTTTCTGTTTATTTCTCAAGGATTTTCCTTCCCTTCCTCTGGGACCTTCAGTTTGCTTATGCACCTGCATTGCAGGGATGACAGAAAGTTCTCTTACAGGTGAAGAAGGTACATGACTTGAAAGAAAATGGATCAGCTAGCTTGGAGTCAAGTATTTCCCAGCAGAGCCCAGCCACTGATTTCTTGCTGGTCTGCTGTCAGGTGCTGGTGATGCCACCTGTCCTGACAGGTGACTCTCTTGGCCTGGATAGTACCTGGGGTGCTGCTTACACGTGGGACCTGAGGGATGACACATTCTAGCCTGACAGTGTCAGGGCACCATTGCTTAGTGCTGCTTCTTTTCCCTCAACCTTGGAGAACGTCTCCAGGGATCCCACTGTGCTCTTCCTTCCAACATTGGAAGCTTGTGAGTTATGGCTATCTGGCCTATGCTACTCTGTCATCCCATACCAGTTTCAGGCATTTTACTCTTAAGCTCATTTGTTATCCTTCCCTGCTACCCTCTGTTACCACAAGGGGTGGACCGTACAGACTGGATTTTATCCAGAATCAGCAAATGGGAGGATTGGCAGGGGATTGGAGGTTGTGGCTGGCATGGCTGGCAGCCATTGGTGTTCTCTGTGGCTCTAGCTCCCACTGGATTGATATTTCACTGTCCTTGGCCCCTGCCTCCAATTGACACCACCTCCACCCTTTGTCTT